TAAGTTGTTAACATTGAAATCATTATCATCTTTGTTCTTTGTAGAGTCAACTTTCTCTTCAATAATTTCTTCAATATTCATATTATAATCATTGTTGTATTGTATTTGCTTTCTATTATTGTTGTCGCTACCTCTATAATTATTTGAGTTATTGTTATATTATATTTGCTTTCTCTGATTATTGTCATTGCCTCTATAATTATTTGAATTGTTGTAATTAGATTGGTAATTGTTACGATTTCCATCACCGTATTGGATCTGTTTTCTTTGATTATTATCACGCCATGTATTATTTCTACCATAATTAGATTGATTATTATTGTTATAGCGATAGTTATTGTAGTAGTTGTTATAATTATCGTGGTATCTCGAATTATTATTACCGTAATTATATCTAAAATTATTATTGTAATTCCCATTTCTATTTCTATTATAATTATTTCTAAAATTATTATCAGGTCTAAAATAATTATTATTGTCGTTTCTATTTTTATTGTAAAAGTTTTTATCTTTATCAGACTTTTTATCATTATTTATATAACATATTATTATCATCTGACTTAACGCTAAAACAGTCCAGTTTCACCCCTAATTCGACCATCTGGTTTAATGTTAAGTCAATATTTTTAGAGAATTTATATTTTATCTTATCAATTAAGGTAGATGTACGTAATTTTTCTTTTAATCTACTGTCGTCCAAAAAATTACGCAGTTTCGATACTCTTATATACCACAGCATAAAACTCTCTGACGCTGCAGCAGATTAAATTTATTAATTAAAATGTTTTTATCTTGCGCAGGTAAAAGGCAAGTTAACTTTTTAAAAACAATTTTAAGATCTAGTATGTCGGTATCAGAACAGATTGATTTAATATTGTCAAAAACCTCGTTTGATAAATTATTAAATTTATTTTAATAGAGTCCGATGATGTGCTGGTCGAAAAATAATTTAATATTCTGTCTAAATAAATCTCAGTAAGTGGTCCCACTAACTTAGGAATCTTATGTATAAACTCTGGTTTTATTTCCATATTTTATTAGTAAGACATATATATAGGAAATTATAATATTTTATGTTTTAACAATTTATATTTTGATGAACATGCAATTTAATTCAATAAATTCAGAATCATTATATACGTAATGCTTGCCATTTAACAACTCAAAGCAATTAATCATGTCTTTTAAGTTAACAAATTCAAATAGAACATCTTCAGTTCCCCTTATTGGTTAAATCAAACAAAATATTGTAAATCGAAATTTCATGAGGAATATTGATTAATTTAAAAGCAAACATGATATATAAAAAAATATCACAATGATTTTACCTTTTGTTTTCTTCCTTTATATAGAAATAATAAATTTTTTTTATTAATCATATTTACCAAAAAAAAATTTATTTTTTAAAAAAAATTTCCATAAGGCGAGTTTTTTATGCCTAAACTGGAGGGGCACCATGAAGAGAATCATGATAAACGTGCCAGTATGTAAAAATATATTTTATTATTATTAACTTTATTATATATCTTTCTTCATTTTATACTTCGTATAAATACTACATCAAATTAGAATATAAACGAAAAAAACAAAAAGTAAGATTACAAAAAATAAAAAGTAAGGTTACGAAAAATAAAAAGTAAAGTTACAAAATTAGATTATAAAAAGTTTGTATGCAAAAAAAACAAAAGTAAAAGTAAGGTTAAAAATTAGACTATGATGTAACAAAATGATAAAAAATATTTTTTAAAGATTAAAAAAAAGAATATTGCTTGACTAAGTTGGTGAAAATTTTATTTTATTTAATATTCAGAATATTTTTAGAGAAAGATATTATGAATAAATATTTTACCGTTCATTATTTTTGAATGTAAGCAACATAGGTTCTAATCACATTATACTTTACCTCTCTGATACAATAAAAAACGAACATCTTTAATTTTTAGAATTAAAAAAATGAATGATGTGTAATTACTTATTTAAAACACTTACAAACATTTACTTCTACTATGTTAAATAACATAAGAATATTACCGCTAAAAGTCGAGAATTTTTTTAAGCGTGGTAAGTATTAGGATTTTTAAAAATAGACTATTTATATTTTTTTTATAAAAATGTTTTTTTCCTAAAAATTTTAAATTACAGTCGTTATTTTAAAAAATTATTAACTATTACTTATTTTTCTCATAAATTATTATCTTGTTGTAAAATCATGCATGTGGGAGATTTTCGGGGATTTAAAAAATGTGAGCAATGTGATATATTAAATTTTTTTCAAGAAATGTGTTAGTAAACGACTAAATGTGACAGTAATGGCAATCGTGGATATAGAATAATTGTATATCTTTGATAAATGATTTATCAATTTATGTTGATTAATTTATATTGGTTAATCAATTTATGTTGATTAATGAATATATATTTATGTTGATTGATCAAATAATAGAGTTGATTGTTCAAATTATCTTGATTGATCAATTTATGTTAATTTATAAATTATATTGATTGGCCATTTCCGCTGTAGGATATGGGAGTAAAATTTATACGGGATGTGCATATGTGTGATAGTCTTATCATAGATATAGTCCCCCATTTAGAAATTTGTCTGTTCACCTAAATATCATTTTAAAATAACACCCCCTTCCCCCATTGATCCAACACACTCTCCTAAATTTTTTTGTAATATTTGACTATAAACAAAAATTTGAATTACAACAGCACTTTTTAATTCTATATTGCTGTTAGGGAGTTATTAATCCTCCTGTTTTTGATTAATTTATAATAGTAGCAGTGGCGTCACTAGGGGGGGCGCAGGGGCTCAAACCCCCTGAAAAATTTGAATAGCCCCCTGAAGCAAAAAAAAAATTTTTTTTTAATGGTTCCTTAATATCCCCTTAAACTAAAAAGAACTTTTTTTGATTGTCCCCTGTTTATTATAATTCTTTTAAGTAATATATAGATTTAATTTTATTAATTAAAAATTAATAAGACTATCTAAATTTTATTAGATTAGATTAATACATATAATTTATATTTTCACTATGTCAGCTTGCAATCAAATTCTTTGTTAAAAATAAAATATCAATACCATGCATAATGTTTAAATATCAATTTAGCATTAACAGTTGAAGTTTAATTGATTTTTATTAATTAAATTATTATATAACCCTAATTAAATAAATATAAAGATTTATTAATTGAAAATTAACAAATTTAATATTGTAAGCCGAGTTTAAAATCACTATTTAAATAAAATGACTTTGCGATTTAAAAATTTAAGCATTAAAGACTTTATGAAAAAAACTAAAGATAAAAGTAGCAATAATCTTGAGGACCAAAGAAGAGGATTCAATAATAAAGCTGGTGATGAACAAAACAAAGTATATTTTATACAGTTTTTAAAATTCAAACTTTGATTTAGTTGAAAGACGATTAATTGTAGTTTAAGAGATATAAATATTGAAAACAAAAATGTTAAAAGAAAGAAAATAGGTAAATAAATTTATATATAAGTCTGTGTCCAAAATGTTTTGAAAAAATCCTTAAAATTTTCACAAATTAATAACAAAACACTTTGGACATTTAAGTTTTAAAAAATAAAAATTTATTAGTTAATTATCTATTTTAATGGAAGGTTTCTTTTTCACTTGATCATAATTGAAGTTATATGTTTTTCCTATTTCCTCCCAAATTTGCCTAATTTCTATAGAATTTCTATTTAAGTCATTTTTCACCAGAGTATTAAACAATATTGATTTCTTTAGTTTTCAAGTTAAGCAAAAATTGCTTTACAATATATTTTCAACTTTCAGGAGCAGGACACTAGAAATGGGAAATTTTTTTAAAATTTTTCTATTATAATCACATAAGGTGATGTCAAAATATTAGCTAAATAAAACATAGTAAATATTTTCTATATAAATAGTCAATATCTTAAAAAATCATACACTATTATTCTTTTTACATTAATAAAGATAATATTGGCTAAATTGTTTACTCAATCATTCTTTCATAATTTGATAATTATATATTTATTTGTTTATCCTAACTTAATAATATACTATATTTTAATAAAAATGCTAAATAAATTTAGAATAGTTTGCTTATTTATATATATTTTTGAAAAATGGACACTATAATATGGAATATTACTTTTTATATATTATATTTACAAAAATAAATACACTGAAAAGAAATACATTTTAAAATTAATCTTATTTAGATTCATTGAATAATGAAGAAAGTATTGTGAATGACATGATTGTAAATAATGTAAGTACAGAAGGAAAGAAAATAGGTAAAAAATTAATTTATATATAAGATATTTTATTTATAAAATAATAGAAGCACTATGTGTGGCTCAATCTGAAGATATATGTGAGATCCAATGTACAGATATCTCTGAATGTATTAATTTTTTAAATATAATTAAATTAAATATAAAATTTTATATAGACATAGAATCTGAAGAGGATACTACAACAAGCCAGATTCTTGGTAGCAGTAAATATAAAGGTATATTGGATAAAGAAGTTTTATTGCAACAAATTACATTTGATGAAATACATTTTAAAATTAATCTTATTTAGATTTATTAAATAATGAAGAAAGTATTGTGAATGACATTAAAATACTTTATACTATAGTAAATCGATTTTGTATTGAAAAATTTGTAGAAATGTATTGTTTTAATTATTTATATTCTAGTTTTAATTATTTATATTCTAGTCTTAATTATTTATATTCTAGTCTTAATGATATTTATATTTATTTATATTCTAGTCTTAATGATCAATATTCTAGTCTTAATTATTTATACTCTAGTTTATTTTGTACGTATAATATAATAAAAAACAAGAGTTTAGTAATTTTTAAAAATGCGACGCCTCTGAATAGTAGGACAATTTCTCATACCAATTTCTTGCTTTACACGTATATATAGTATATCTGACAGAGATGTAACAAGCGTCTGTTATCATATGACAGCTTTAGGATATTCTATAGCAACTTTGGGGAATATGACTTCTCAAATTAAAAATAATATAACAATTAAAAGAATAATTGATACAAATGCTGGATTTATATTGGAAGAAAATGAATTAAATGATGGCAATACTGTCGAGAATAACATTCTACTCAATTTAAAGGAAAAACCTAGTAATATACGATAAATATTAAACCTAATCAAAAATTAAAACTAGATCCATTGTCCATAATTGATGCTCAAATATGCATAGATTGTGGCAAAAAATTTCGAGATTCATACTTATACAATACCTTTGACTATTCAATATGTGATGGATGCAAGTAATATTTAAATTTAATTGTTGATAAGTAATTTACAAATTTTTCTTTATATATATTGGTGTATATCTATTTTTTATTGATTTAAAAGATAGCATATTCCAGATAATAAGTAGTTTAGTGAAAGGTCAAAATAGGCCCTACCTGATTTAAAAATAATATTCATTCTTAAATCAGGCCATGCCTTGACTTTATATATATATGTTTTTAGTTTGTCTTAGAATCTATTAGCTTTAAGCCTGGATCAAATTTTTTAAATTTTAATTATTTTATGACCTAGTCTTGTATGTAAAAATTATTTGTTCAAATTTAAAATATGAAATATCTAATATTTAGGGCTATGCATAATATATATCATCAGAATGAATTGTTGTCAATATTTAGGAATTTTAAAAAATATTGGCTGCCGATCTGGTCCAATATTTTAATTATATTATGTTGTTTAAAAGAAATTATTGTAAGATGTGGCTAGAAATTTGATATTGTTTTTATTGTATAACAAGTCACATGAGCCTATGGTAATAATACTTTTGTTATTGGCCATTTTTAAAAGTCTCTAAATTGATCTTGTTTAACATTATTACACCTTTTTAAATGAAATAATTTCTTAACTACATCTATATATATATATGCACAATATTAGTAGGGCTGTGTAGATTCATAAAATTTTCACAAATGATCCAATCTTTTCTATCAACTATAAAAAAGTCTGTTATTTATTTTTAGAAGAGGGTGTTCATAAAATGCTATACTTTGGATGACATGTCCATGTATGCCTCTATCCTAATTTTCCATCCCATTGTTTTGTGATTTATAAAAAAATTTATAATGATAAAATTTTATTAATATTCATATCGTTTAATAAAACATATTTTATATGTCCTATTGGGATATGGAATCTATTATTATTCAGAATCTTTAAATTTTATTACTCTGAGTTATATTTAAATTTGAAAAAATCTAATTTGCTGGAAACCTATTACAGCATGTGTAATCTGTCCTATAAATTTCAGACAAGTAATATACTTTTGTTTAGTTGTTAAGTTATCTGAAAAACATATAAAATAGTTCAAATGTTCATGGCAAAGTTGTCTGAAATTCACGTTTTGTATATGCTGGAATTCATTTTGTTCAAATCTGATTTAAGAGAGATTTTTAATCCCATTTACCCACATTTGTGTAGTAGCAAAATATATTTTCTACATGTTTTTTGAAGCATTTAGAAATGTATTTTTGAGCAATTATAACATAAAATATAGTTAATTTTTTTTGATAGCCTCCCATTATTTTATAACTTACTATATTGACTTTTATATAGCTTTAGGGGGGGTGATAATTAAAGAATGTAACTATTTATAATTATGATTACTTACTAAATTTTGATAATTGATTACTATTATGTAATCTCCAAATTTCTTCTTCCATTTAAAAAGTGCTCTATGAATTATAAAAATATATGGAATATGTCATATTTATTTTTTTAAAGTAAAATGAATCTGTATATTTTTTTAATTCAATGTCATTCAATATCTAATGTTTAGCTCTCAGTGGCAGTCTTGTTCTGAATCAATATTATCATTTTCTTTAATATTTTAATCAATTTTCCTGTTGTCAAGATTTTCAATGATTTCTATTTTAATAAGAATTAACCCAAATCTACTAATTTCTTTCTGAAGAAGAAGTAGGCTGGAATCTGTTTGTTTCTTATGGAAGTTACTGCTTTCCATATAATTTTCTTAAACATGCCAATTTTACTTCTGAAATTTATAATATCATTATAATATTTTGATCACCACCACCTCGTAAAGCGCCTATTTCTTGTATTATATCACATACTTCATTAAATTCACTACTACTAAGATGCTCCACTAACCAGCATTAAGATGAAATGTATTTATATGATTCTTTTTTTTCCCGTCAATTGACTGAGCCAATCTTGCTATGTATTATAATTAAAGAAATATAAAATTCGCATTATTACATGGAAATTATAATAGCTGGAGGAAATATTAAAATGATATATTCTATACTTTATTCTAATTAGAGAAATATAAAATTCACCTGATTGCAAAATTATGATGAAATGTTAAATAATATATTCTTTTCTTTATTCTAATTGGTGAAATATATTATGATATTAACAGGGAAATTGTAATAGCCGGAGAAAATTAAATATTATTCTGATTCGTAAGAAGAATCAAACAGCGTCCTCCTATAGATAAGAAGACCTTATTTCTTATGGAAAGTTCATGGCAGAGACGATTCCAACGACATCCTCCTATGGACAAAGTCACATTTCTTAATTCTTATTATAAATCGTTTGAGGTAAAGTATTTTTGGCGAAAATTTTATAGACAACCAAGATGAGCAGCGTCCTATGTGTATTGATATTTCTTATATTTTTGGCCGTATATTATCAATCACACCTAACACTCGGGTTTAGTAATGGGTGGGGGGGGGGGTTTACAAATCTATACTCATATGAGGTGAACCTATCATTTTTTTTGTTATATTTTTTTGATAGAAAGGGCAAAGGGAGTTTTATTTTTATGGAATAATTTTACATTGAAAATTGTATTCAATAAGAAAGTTAGATTCTATGGCTATACACTTATATATTTTTTTTAATTAAATTTAAAACACAAAAATTTCACAATTTCTAATGACGGGAAAGAACGAAAATAATAAATTTTAGGGCTGTGTCGATATTTTTGCCAATATTATAATGATATAGTTATAAATGTTCATATCTCGAAATTGTCACAAGATAAACTTAAAATTTTTAATGCATGACCATCATAGAATGTAAATAAAACTTTAAAATAATTTATCAAAAAATCTGCCAATCTAGTGCCAATTCTAAGATAAACACATATATTAACAGGTCATTTTAATATCGGCACAACCCTAATAATTTTATTTGTTTAAACAACAAAGAATTAATGAAATTCTACCCAATAATTACTTTTTTAACATATATAAATATCAGGATAATATTTTTAAAATATTAATATAAAACAGAGATATGAAAGAGAAACATAAGTTAATTACTAAAACAGAAGCCAAAACAATGTATATTCTAAAGGATTGTGATCTGGATAGAAGAGAACCACTATTGAAATGCATCTTAAGAAAGAATCCACATAATTTAAAATGGGGTACCATGAAATTATATTTAGAAATACAAGTAATTTTTTAAATTTACAATGGAGTCATTCCATCTCAAATTTGGAAAATAATGAAATTTTCGGCCGACTCCCCTCGATTTTTTAAAATTTGGTAAGCAAAGAAAGGTTAAATAAATAACAAACAATATTGTTAAAAGCTACTGCGCAATCTCCACTGCTATTTCATCACAAAACTATTGGCTACTTTTTCAGGGACCTGTAATGAACCGCCAAACCGCTATAAACCTTTATAAATATCTGAACCGTAACTGAACCGACGTAATTATTTTTTGAAGGAGTAAAAAAAGTTAATCCTGTTTCAGCCGAAATAAAATAAATAATTTTACCTTTTATTACATTCTTTTCTTTATGGTGTATTGCATATTTTACCATATCTGCATCATTATATAATTATTAAATGGTCAAAATATTTGGTTAATATCCATAAGAAGTATATATTAATTTTTCACTATGACTTAACTTGATCCACAATTTTTTAACTGCTTCTTATAGTATTAGAGATTCCTATTTCCTATATTGTAGTATGCAAAATATCTAAATAACCAATTTTTGGTTTAGTTATATATTTAATCTAATAAATCATTATTTTTTTATATATATTGAAAATCAAAGAAATTTGAATATCCAAAATTATATAAACTTGCTCTTATAGTACTTGCGGTTTAGGCAACACAACTTTCTGTTAAAAATGCCTTTTTGGGGCTAAAATTTGTGTTATTGTCACAACAAACAAATGTGAATCCACTTATAGAAAATATATTACTTATACGTTCAAATAATATATTTAGAAATGAGTTATGATTCTTATATATTATTCATAGATACTTATAATAAAAATAAATTAATTTCATCTATTTTATAAATAAACAATATTATTAACTTAAGTGATGGCAAAATTTTAATAAATAATATTTATAATTAAAATCATTATTAATTTAGAAAAAATTGAACCTTTACAATTAGCTGAATTGAACCAAAACTTTATAAAATTTTTCTTAAGAACCGTGAACTTATAAATAAAGGTTCGGGTCCCTGCTTATCCTATTTCCACAAATAAAAATTGGCATAGAAATATGACTATAATTTCTTATATTTTATTTTCAATGATAGTAACATTTCAATAACCCCAAGTTTAGTATAAGCTTTGCCGCACTAATAGCGATTCAACAATAGCACTTGAGGGCAATGCAGTAATAATTTTTATATACATATTTTATATAAGAAATATCATCATAGATATTTATCTGTGTATTTTTAGATTTAAAAAATGCTTATAGAGGATTTTCAATGGTATTATTTATTTCAAAGAAATCATCTATACTAGGTGGCGTTTCTGATCTGGCTAAGGTATCCTGGTTTGGTATAGTATTATTTAACGCTTAGTTGCCCTTTGGATTCAGTCAAATTAATATATGGCCAATTCAACTTGAAACTAGGGTGAGCAATAGTAGATATGTTTAACATCCAAATAATAAAGATAATAATTTATACAATATTATCATTAAAAAGGTGAGTATGATAATAAAATGAGATGTTAATATTAATCATGTTAGGATTGGGGAAGAAAATCAACTTTCTCATAAACTCATCTAGCTCAATAACTATTATAGATTTAGTTTTGATTCAATTTTATTTTAATGATTACAACATTTTAGCCCCCTAAAATCAAAATTTTTAGAGATATGTTCAAAATCACAAAAATGATCTATTTTATTTACCTTCATTCACTTAAACATATCTAAAAATTACATAATTGTAAATTACAAATTTTTTATTAAAATTACGTACAAAGATGATACTTTTAGATAAAAAAATTTTTTGATTTTCCCAATTTCCGGCCATTATATCTAATATATAAGAATTAAAAACAATTTTGGAAATAATACTATTTTCAATTTTTTAAAAAAAATTTAGTAGACATTACTAACTCCTCTTTTATATTTATAAAAATATTGGTCTGAAACCCTGTCAGAATCATTCTCAACGATAAAAATGATATGTGAAGTGTATAAATATTTTCATAAAAGGGAGTGTGCTTATATATGTTCATATATTATTTAGTTTTTAATGGGTTTTCTTAACATAATTGTTATAATTTTGAAGGATTATTCATTTTAAATGAAAATAACAATCAATGGGGGTTTCAATCAATAAAAGCAATTTATATCATTTACAATATATTATAAAATTATTTACCCTATAACATAAATGAATATTAATAAAATATGATCAATCAAGTTTAGAGTTGTTATTCATATATGGTGCTAATATGAAATTTTAACTATATTACCAGAAAATGATAGTGTTCAAAATTATGATTGAATTAAATACAATAAATTAACGGCAAGATAAACTAAATTACTTATAGCGGAAAAATGATTTTTTCACACCTAATTATAAGCCTAGAAATGTAGACTAATATACAGTTAGAATTTTATTATAGAGTTGAAATAAGCTGAATCTTGCCCTGCAAGAAATATTGGCCAAAATAGATAAAGGAATTTGAAAGAAATGTATATATTTTTTAAAGAAATGTGACCTGATTTTAAAATTAGTTTTTCGAAATTTGCAAATCATTCAGTCAAAAAATTGTATACTCGCAGGAGGTAGTAGAACGTATAATGTATATGTTTACATCTACCACTAAAATTTTAAATTAACGATGATCATTGGATAAAATTAAAGATGATATGTTGCCTTTTAAAATATACAAACATATTTTACCTTTAATAATTTGTAATCCGCCTCAACCATCCTGTTATATGGGCAAATGTAACTATTGCTCAAGGTCAAAACATTTACCCTGACAAATAGAAATATTGTTTCGTTCTGATCCAATTACATACAAACAGTGGATATCGGTCTACTCTCTATCACCAAGCCAGAATAATGAATTTATCAATGCCTTTAATGAAAAAATGGAATCTTTATTACCCCCTTCTTTTATTTCTACGTAGAAATGGTCTCAAACCCATCTAAAATCGAACTTTGACATAGGCCAATATTTAATTTTATGGGACAGATAACTACTATAGTTTTATACTTCAGGATGAAGTATAAAGTTATCATTGTTAACCCTTGTTTAAGATAATTTTGCAAATACTTGTTACCTGAATTACATAATGATATCCAAATCTTTACAACATAAGGCAATATCAGTACATTATTTCCAAAAAACATTAGTTAATTTTTTATTAATAAATTTTATATGCCAAGTAAAAAGCTTTAATATTCGGATATATCTGATGCACAGTATAAAAATCGTAAAATTTTTATTAATGACATTAGATTTTAGGGTATAAGCGAAATGACTTTTTTTACTACAGCGCACCTGTGTGATAGATTGATGGCACTGTTAAAAATAGTTGCTAAGGCAAGTTTACAAAGACCTTACTAAAGGAAATAATAACGTCATATGAATTGTACGAATTTGTTAAAGATAATATTATTGGCATATATTTTATATTACTTAAAAAAATTATGACATTTTTAAAAACTAAAAATTTACTCCGTGATTTCAACAGGTACATCAATTTAAAATTAAAATGTATTCAAATTCAAAAGATCGCAAATATTTATCAGATAATGATGAAAGTATAATCATAGGAGAAATAAACTTATGCTTATGGATCGAATAATTAGCCTTTGTTTTAGGAAAACATCTAAAGCAGGAAAAAATATAAAACTTCTTTGGACCTTCTAATTCCTTTACATTTCCACCTATAGACCACATTCTTTACTTGCCAAATGTCATATCCTAACATTGGTGTTATAGTTAACTGCTACTGGCCATAGTTATACATTGTCTTCGCAAGAAAGTAAATACGCTCCCGAAAAATTAGAATCTTTTAAAAGTGAGTTATTTATCAGATTTTTTCAATTTATATTATATCAATTATTTTTAAAATTTAGGGCGCCATATATGAAATAAACAAGATTCTAATTCATATATGATTCCACGTCAAATCGATCACGATTCGGCCGACCCCTTTTAAAATTGTTAAAAATTTCTGGAATTATTTAGATAGGTAAAAGAATAAGAAAGCCGTTTATTTTAGCTCGCTAGCACACCTGGTTCTCGAGTAGTGTTGTTAAACGGCTCGTTTTGAGCCGATTTTTAAAAACGGCTAACTCAATATTTTAGCCAGAAAAAAATTATTTAAGACTCGAGATTTCGCTAAGAGATGTCCAAACCTTTGTTCCTTCTACAAACAAAATCTTCAGGCTTGCGTAATACTATCCTGGATGCAATACTGAGTTAGCCGTTTTTAAAAATCGGCTCAAAACGAGCCATTTAACAACACTATTCTCGAGATATAGGGGCTCAAAGGTACAAAAAAGAGCCACTTTGAAATCTGTAAAATTTTTAAAATGCTTATATCTCAAAAACTATTTATAGTAAAAAAATTATAATATATCATTTTGTAGGTAAATAAATTCTCTAATGGGCTAATAAAGAATAATAAATATTGGCGCCATTATAGGCTTTTAACATCCGGTTTACCTAAATTGCTTTACCTGTATTTTTAAGCCAAATAGTGAGTTTGTTTTCGAATTTTTTTTATTGCTTGTTATTTAGACACCTTTGCTAAATATAAATATCAAAACCTTGGCGACGCAATCGACTTTAAAAATTAATAAAAAAAATAGATGGCGCTTTATGAAATTACGGATTATGGTTAAAATTTTGCTGCTAACTTATCAATAACCAGATATTTTCACTTTTTATACTAAAAAATTTTGATTTTCTATTAAATATATTATTTAACTGAGGAGCAGAGTGGGCATGTGCCCATTAGACACTTAATAATGTAACAAATTTCCACTAATAAATATCTTTCATATAATTTTTTTAATTTTTAAGGTATCTTCAATTTCATCAAATATTTCATCATTTGATGAAGATAATGGTAAAAACTAAGTCGTTAAAACTTTTTTTTACTCTAGATATTTTCTTCGAATATTTATTTTCACATAAGCGTTTTCTTTTAATGAGAGA